GGGGGGGGGGAGACATCAATTGGTCGCCTCCCACACATGCCTCGACCGGGGGCTGGGGATTAATCCTGCAACCGAGTCACGTGCCCTTGACCAGACATGAACCGGGGCCCTTCAGTACACAGGCCGACGCTCTAACCACTGAGCAAAACTGGCCAGGGCTCAGTGCTGGCATTTTAACCCAATCCGTGAGGCTGAATCACAAACATCTGATATTCTTTAAAGATATACATATATGTGTGTGTGTGTGTGTTTATTGATTTCAGAGAGAGGACAGGGGAGAGAGAGAGAAACATCAATGATGAGAGTCACTGATCAGCTGCCTCCTGCACGCCCCCTGCTGGGGTTGAGCCCACAACCCGGGCCTGTGCCCTGACCGGGAATTGAACCACGATCTCCTGGTTCATAGGCTGACACTCACCCATTGAGCCACGCCGGCCAGGCCATTTGATATTCTTAAGTAAAACTCTCAGTAAACATATCAGCCTCTGTATATTCCACCTGATCATTTGCCTTCCCAGGGAAAAAGAACATATGGGTGATGGAGACAAATGGTACAGAGGAGATGCTCATCAAAGACCCCAAGGCAGTCAGTGGCACGTCACATTCTGGAAGGCTCCCCAATTCCCACAGAAGTCCGCAGTTTGGATTCGATCTGCATGTCACCATGACTGCCTTCTAAAGATGAAGGGGCGCTTGCTGTGTGTGTGTGTGAGCTACACACGCAAGAGCAATTTAATGAAGACATTCCCTTTGGTCAGGCCTTCCTCACAGTAACCTGAGGTCCTGGAGAGCCCAGGGGGGTCAATCTGTGTTCTGTTTCCAAAGACAGATCTTCTCGTCCATGGTCTGATTGCCTGGCCGGCGTGGCTCAGTGGTTGAGTGTCAACCTATGAACCAGGAGGCCACAGTTCGATTCCTGGTCAGGGCACTTGCCCAGGTTGTGGGCTCGACCCCCAGTCGGGGGCGTGCAGGAGGCAGCCGGTCAATGACTCTCTCATCATTGATGTTTCTATCTCTCCCCTTCTCCCTTCCTCTCTCTGAAATCAATAAAAACATATTTTCTTAAAAAAACCAACATACTGGTCTTTGCTTAGGAACATAATGCTTATAAAAAGGGCACGAAGGGAAAATGTTCTAATTTCTTAATATGAACAGATCCTGAAAACTCAAGTTCCATCGACCAAAACGGGCAGGCAAGAGAGGAGGAGCCACCCCCCCC